CTATCAGCCATTCCTCTCTACAAAATGAACAACCATTGTTAGACCAACCGATTGCGCCCTCTCGGCATAGGCGAATTCCAAATGACCGACCGATATGATTAGTCATTTGTCGGCCAACAACACTCATTAAATTCATACCGGTCAACAACACTCATTAAATTCATAAGTCATTATAAACCGTTATTCTCTGTCAATATTACGACGGTTATTAATTCAAATTATACGCATTAATTCTATTAAGGACGGTTACCACAATGGTTCCACATTCTTTAATTGTACTGAGTAGACCTCTTTAAATAGGCGGTCTCAAGAGGAATAAAGGGACACTCTCTGGCCTAATTACCGTGCGCTCTCTCTCATTTTCTCTGTCTATTTCTATTGTCTATTTCTATCCCAACTCTCGGGGTGTGCTCACAAAAAGACAAGTTCATATTCAACATATGGTTTATTTTGATTTGTATAAATCTGAGGTCTATGAATGGAACTTTTACTTGATGAGAAGTTCAAACTTTTGTTCAATCTTGAGTATTGAGTTACATGCTTATTCTTTCAAGAGTGTGGCATTGGGAACTAAGAACTTGTGCAGAAATCATCTCCTTGTATCAACGTTAGAATTGATTTTTTCTGCATGGTGAATTGTTTCATTTATATTGTTTCTTATTAATTTTATCAGCATGCTTGATTTTTTTAGTTGTATTTGCATATCTAAATCACGACGCATGCTAATTTATTTATAGTAGGAATTTCTACTATATATTATTTTAAATTTATAATATTTCTCATTATTAAGGATATTCTATTTTGTTGTATTTTATTTAATTGTTCTTTTCTCTTGCTTATATATCAGCATAAATATATTAGTACTGATGTGAAAATTTAGTAAAGATATAATCTTTAGCAATCTCTCCATTCTAACATGGCATAGGATAACTTTCACTCTAGCTTCATGTTCCTGGTTGCAATTCTATCCGCATCCATTATGTTTCATTTATCTACTCCTATCTTTTGTCTCTTTGTTTGCTATCCAGTCATTGATGTCATCCTTTTATGCATTCAACGTCGCACACACTTGCATTCCTTCTTTATGTGGCATAGTGTACATCAACTATGCAAAGTTTAATTCCCCACAATATCTACTCAAGCATGATTAATCCCATACCCTTACTTGCTCTATGATCTACTTTTATTCTTCAACATGGATTTTATTTGTGACTTCTGTGTAATTTATGATGCCAATTACAATATCAACATTCTATTATCACTCTCTGTAGTTCTAGTTCAATTTTTTTTTTTTGCATGCTCCTAACTTTCAATTTCTCATTGTAGTTCTTTGATTTGGGTCGTCATTAAAGTATGCACCTTTTTTGTAATTATGGGCTTACATCATGAAGGCAAGTTATTGTTATAATTGATGATTTGTTGACCTGTGAATTTCAAATCAAGTTTGTATGATTTCATTTATTACACCATCTAGTTACCTTAATAAACCCAGATCTTCAGACATCCAACATCAATTAGTATTAAAATTAAAGTTGCATCATCAGGCCAACCAGCTAAGTAATTAAACAAATTAATAACTAATGCAATTTAAACAAAATCTTTTAATTTTTGGTACTATACAACTATAAAATGATTATCATGAGGTTCACAGCTATATATTTACATTTGATAGACGAATAGTCTTACTTTGGATCAATGATGTGGAGGATTTTTTGAAAGATATAATCTATCTGATTTCTAAAATTTAATATGCTAAATCAAAATTTTTAAGACATTTCAATCGTTTTGGAGATGTGTTGCTTCCAAATTTGCATGGGCTGATATAAAACATAAATTTGAGCAATTTTTTTCGTTTTGGTTAGATGTATCATCAACATGATTAATTTAAATATTCCAAATATGGTGATTATGATGTGCTTGAGTGTTAGACAAGTTTTATAGACGCTCTATCTAAATCCTGTTTGTCCTTAAATTTTTATATTGTCATTATTTGTTTCATTAAAGGACTTAAGTTAGATATTTGGAATTAAGTAAGCTACGGTTCACAAAAAATATTACAAGAGGTTTTATACATTTCTTTGGATATTGAGGAATATCACGATCATGTCAATTATGACCTACTTACTTATAATTAATTTCCCCGAAAATCAATACCACCTCTAAAATTTATTAATTACACCAGTATAATAATAATGTATGGTTGAATTTAATCTTATCAAAGAAATTATAGTTCATGATGCTTCTTTCAGTGATGTTTTTAATGAGAACCATGATTCATTGCAATATGCATCCACACATGATTTTATTGAATCAAAATTAGCATTTACATTTGTCCATGTTCATGTATCCAAATCTACATTTGAACGTGAATCAAAATTACATATTGAAAGTGAAATTGGCCATGAATCATATTTGAACCTAAATTTTTAATTGAGATTAGATATGTGCCTGAACGTGAAATTGAACCTATCATGCCTATTATAGTAAGATAAATCAATCAAGCAATTAAAAAAAAAGTAATTTTAGATGAATTATCTATTGATATTTTTGCTTTTATAAATGATTGAGCTCGGTTTGATTTTGCTTTTGTTGTTGATTTCTTGTTATGCCAATTTATAAAAAGGACCTTATAGAGAGAAATAGTTGCATAAATAATTCAAAGAATTTGTTAATGAAAAATTCTTTTAAATAATTATGAAAATTAAAATTTTATGTATCTTGTAAATTTAAAATTTGCATAATTCATCTTAATTAATTTTTGAGTTCATTGGGTTAGTTTTTATTAATGAGATCATCTATCCATATGTACATCTCATATCTGTGTATGTATCTATTTTCAATTTTTTTATTATATCTTTTATTATAAAATAGATACATGTCTTTATTATAATATCCTAAGATGAACTTTATTATTTTACCATTTTCGTTTGTACCATATTCATGATTGCATAAAGATAATCACAAGAAATTAACTTTTAGTTATGTCAAATATCTGTTCTTTGTTGATGTGAGTTAGAGATATAAAGTATAAGCATATGATTAGGTGATGAGATACATCTTTATATAGGAAGATTTTCTCAAGAAGCCTTCAAGAAATAAATGCGAAAAAGGTGGAGTTATATAAATCATGCAAATTATTAGACCTTGTATTATTTTTTCTTTCCATTCCCACCTTGCGAATTCTCATCTAATGCACTATTCAAAGAGATGAAACTGTATCCAATATTGATGGTGGATTATGTAGATATTAATGCAGTAATTTAATAGGTTTATATACGTTGATTTTTTGGATTATATCATAGGAAGCACAGTAATTATGAGTATAATTACTTGATGAATATAAAAAATTCAATTCATTAAAGTTGAATTTTTCCAATCCAAACGGATTGATTTGAAACTCCCTTCCACACCCTTCTCACAACCATCCTATATTCTAAGCTTTGATTATTGAAGTTGATATAGGCTCTTGTAGTGCTTGCAATTTTTGTTTTTCGGCTCTAATTTCTATCGTAATTTTGGATCCTATAGCGTTTTGCATATTTATCCTGATGATTGATAGTTTTTACCATGTTGAAGACTGAAACTTGCACTTATGCCATTATCCACATGAAACAAACAATCGCTTTGAACTGTGATGGGACTTTTAAAATAGCCAAATTTAGGGTTTAGTTGGATGCTTATAAATAAAGCAATTTGTTGTATGAGAAAGGAATTTTTGCTTAAAAAAAAATGTAGATTTTTATTGAATCTTTAGTGTTTGAGTTAGATATTGATTCCTTCATGCATGTTGTAAGAAAGACTACCACTGCCAGTATTGAAGGAAAGACATCTTTTTCCTGTGGGAGGCCAAGGTTTCTCTACTTAGTGAATAATTTTTTCGTTTTTTTTATTTGGTGCAATTTGCTGTTAACTTTTGCATTTATTTTAGCTAAATATGCTACAAGAATTTTACTTATGGTGTGAATCATAATCAATGTGGTTTTTTGGCAGTTTCGACTGAACCATTTTTTATTTGTGCGAGATCTTTAAATTATCTTTTGGTTGTTTTTGGAACTACAAATTTTAAAACCAATTTTTGCGAATTCATCCATTTGATCATCTAGTTTTATTAACAACTCAGATCTTAATTTATCGTATGTAAATACATATTATTACTCAGATGCACAACTTCTATTTCAAAGTTTGCTATAGTTGTGATTTTAATGGTTTGATGTGTGATTTTATTTATATTCTGATTTGACGGGAGTCTTAAGAAAACCTCAAACACGCTACACTTCTTTAATGTCTCAATGAACACCAGATATGTAAGCCTTGCCATGTTTGAAGGAAATTTGAACTTAAATTTTTTTTATATATCATATGGATTTGTTTTAAAGAATTTACATAAATACCTACATATCTAACAATTAAGCTTTACTTTTTTATATTTATACCACCCAAATTTTTCATATCACATAAAAAAACACCGCTATTTTAATTTTTGAAAAATCAAATATACCTTTTCAGGCATTGGTAAGGTGGTTTATACCTAGATATGTAAATACATGAGCATTAAGTGTTATGTATGCAAGTTTTCATTTTTTTTTATAAACTTTTGTTTTCTATTAGTATGTAAACTTTTGAAGTTGTTTATATTGGAATCATCGTGGGAGCTATATATTTACATAGGCACTGTAGATATTCTCATTTCAATATTTCCCTTACTGTGAATCTCTCTTTTTGTTTTTCGGGTGCACTCGAATCTGACACTTCAAATTTTCACTTTATTTCCAACCAATGTACTACGCATTCGAGCACACTGTGAACCTCTGTTGTGTATCCAATTTTAAGGAGGCAACTACTTTAGAGTGATACTTCTAAATGTTTAAAGTTGGGGACTTATTACTACGTTCATTTATAGAAAAGCCTGCTCATCATTTTCTTACTTTTGCCTTTCATGAATGCCGTTAATTATGCCTTGATTGAGCAATTAATTTTTTTCCATTTTATGTTTTCTGCAGCTAATACGTGATGAAATTAGAGCTGGTAAAACGGACAAGGAAATATACCAAGACCTACAGGATAAATTTGGGGAGACTGTTCTTTATGCACCAAAGTTTGACATGCAGACTGCAGCTTTATGGTTATCTCCGGTCAGTTTTTTCCGCCAAAAATTGATTTCTATGTCTGTAGAATAAATCATATCCATTCCAAGTTGCGACTTCAAATATAGTTGATAAACTAAATTGTACTTTAATATATTCCAATTTATTTATTATTTTTTAGGGGCATTTATATCATACCACACAATTCTTATGTATTTAGATATATAACACCTAAAGTTCAATATTTACATTCATAGCACTCAAATCTTTAACCTCATGTAAAAAATAGTCTTGGCGGCATAAACTCTTTTTGAAAAATAATTGTGGAGGAACTGTTTTATATGCAATACTTAAATTTTAATATTTACATTCATATCACTCAAATTTTTTGAAAAATAATTGTGAAGGAACTCTTTTATAAATGAGTTTATTTACATTGCGAGTCTATTTTTGGCCTAAACTCTTTTATTGCCATATATGCTATGAAATTTTTCCTATAAAATAATGTTGTAACTATATGTAATATGGAAGTTTTGCCCAGCTAAAGAATATTAAAGTGGAGAAAACTTAGTCCTAACAGTTTATTGCAGTGACAAGTTGCATTTGTTTGTTAGATTCAGGCTATGTTTGGGACAACTTCAGGTTTTTTAAATATTTTGGCTTTACAAAGTTCATTTTTTAAATGACTGTTTGAAGTTAAATTTTTTTAAAAACAACTTTTTAGGGATTATAAAAACAAATAGTGAAACAGTTTGTCATTCAAACAGATACTATTTTTTTGTTGACAGTTTTTCTTACCATAAAAACTGTCAAAAAGTTCTAAAAGTCATCCCAAAGAAAGCCTAACAACTTACATTTTCTGTAACTATAGTTTCACTGATTGATCAATAAAATTGCTTAATTTTCATTCTAATGGCAATGAGTCTCGGCTCTCAAATTTTTTAGAAAAAAGAAAAAAATCAGGATTGATCAATAAAATTGTTTGCTGGCATTCATGTACTGGCACTTGGGAAGTTATTTTGTTTTTTAGCTTATTTGGCTTAATTGTTTTGAGTTTAATCTTCAACAACAAACACTTGAGCTCAAGAATTAATATATATGGTGTGCGTATGATTTAAAAAAATTATTAAAAAAAAGAAAACTTCTGCATTTTCTGTAATTAGTCCTTTTGAATAAAGTGAAGGCTCGAACTTAACATTTTAAAATTCTTCTTATTATTTTTTCGAGCCTGATACTTTGAAAACTTTTCCTTATATTTTCAACCAGCATGTTGAAAGATTCTTCTACATTATTTCTAATCAATGTGTTATACATAGGACCACAAGATTTACTGTAACTTGATAAATAAAATTTACTGCTGACATTTATGTTCTTGGCACATGGGAAGTTCCTAGTCGCTGGAGCTGCTGCAGGTGTTTGGGCTTATCAGAGGCACAGGAGGAAGACTGATGTGCATATCATGGCTCTGAACCTTGTCAGAGGAGTTCCTTTGACAAAAATGGAGAAAAAAACAATGCTGGATATCCTCACGCCACCTCCTCCAAAAAGGAAGTTATGGTGGTGGAGCTGATGGGTATTTATTCTCTTTATTTTCTTTTCTTTTTGGGAAATTTATATACCTAGCACTCAATTCTTATGCATTTTCACACCTAAAATTTTTTATTTACATACATAGCACTTTAAAGCTTTAAACATATGCATAAAAAGGTCTATTTCACCTTTAAAAGTGGTAATAATGTTATTTTGATGTGATATTAAATATTTGAATGTTAAGTTTCGGTGTGAGATATTTTAATACCCGAGAATTGTGTGCTATGTATGTAAATGCCCTTTTTTTTCCCATTTCTGTGGTTCTGTTTTCTAATATCTGGACATTTATATATTAAGTTTTTATTTTTATTCAGTTTTTGGTGAATATGTTGATTGTTCTTCAGTCTTTCAGTGCTTAGTCTTCAGCATTCAAATGTACCAAAATGAAATTTCTTGCAGGTAGGTCTGTTCAGTATTTGGATAAAACTGAAAAATTGAATCAAATCGTCCGTCTTTAAATAAAATTTTTGGGTTATTTGGTTATTGGATATTGGACTGGTTTTCCTATTCGTTTAACGGATCAAACTAAATAACTGATCTACAACAAGCAATTAAGTACTTGCCTCTCTCGATCTTGCGATCGAGCCCATTGGATGCATTTGATTCCTCTGTTGCAGTTGCTCTCACTTTCTTAATTTGTGCAAGGTAAAATCTGAAGCATTGAGTGGTGAGGCGATAGGGCTCTGTGAATGGAGGGATGGGAAAATAGGTTTTGAAGACGAGAATGACGAGATGCCTTCAATGCCATTTGAAATCTCAAATTTTTTAACTCTAGTGTTTCTTCCTTCGTAGTCTTAATCGTTGTCAGTGACAAATTGATCAGGAGGTTACCGACACTGTTGGCTTGGTTTATATATGCTTCCACAATAAGGTTTGTTTAACTATGATGATCATTATATTTCTATAATTATAGATGATTTTTCATATATGTATAGATTTTATAATAGACTTCCTTGTTTAGTAACTTATTTCATTTTTTTCTTCCTTTTTTTCGATTCTTTGTTGTATGCGAATGAGATTGTGGCTCCGTTTGGCGCAGCGTTCTCGCTGTGGCGCAGCCTGCTGTCATGGTTCCCGGTGTTACGAGCGTGTTTAATTAAACACACTCGATAAACCCTACCACGATTCTGTCCCTACTTTTTCCGTGTTACTTAACATTCTTTACTCCCATGCCCTCCCTCCGCTCGGTCTCGTCCCGCAAGCAATTTGCCAAGGGTTTTTTCTACTCTCACTTCATTCATCGACACATCTGAACAGGGTTTTTGTCGGCGTTTGCTTCCTCCTCTTGTATCCTCTCCCCCTCATATCTTCTTTGTGGAATAGCTCCATTTAGCCGTACAGTTTGCACAAAGAATTTTTTTTTTGGGATTTTTACATAACATAGCACCAATGACATCCATTTTTTCTCTATTTTCGGTAGTTACAACCCCATTTTTTCTATGTGCTTTGCGCTTTCAATTGGTTTTGGTATATTTTGTTTGTGGTCTTTGGTTGATACATACATAACACCAGTTTTGCTATGTTGGTTTTAGTTTTATTGGTATAATTACGTACTTATCACTCTAAAGGTTTTGACATCTTTGCATCCTTCTTCCTCCGCTGATTTGTGATATATGAGTGCTAATTTGAGAAATGCATGCAATTTTGGTGTTGGAGAACTAAACAACAATCTTTCGGTTGCTGTGTATTTCATTAATATGGATTGAGATTTTATAAAAAAATTTGATATTTGAGTGAGAGTTTGAGAAATGGATTATATTTGGTGGTGTATTTGTTTACAACAATGTTTAAGGTGTTGTATATGTTATGAATATGGATTGGAATTTATTATGAATTTTATTTTTTGAGTTTGAATATGAAGAATGGTTGCAAGCTGGTTTAGCATGTGTTAACAACAATGTTTCGGGTGCTGTCTTTTCACGAATATGGATTCATAATTTATCATGACTTTCGATTTTTGAGTAAGATTTTGAGAAATGGTTGCTAGGTGGTCTAGCAATTGTTAACAGCAGTTTTTCAGGTGCTGTGTATATTTGTTTATGAGAAGATCTTGATCACTTTGTACTTTTTTGTGGTGATATTTTCATAACCAACACAATATTCATCAATAATGTTAGGGAAATTTAGAAACCCAACACAATTCTTATGTGTTTACATTCATGGCAGTTGTATGCATAATATAAAGTTTGAAGAATGATGGTAGTCGAACTCATGCGTATTTTACTGTTTTACCATGATTTCCCTATGTTGAATATGTTGTAATAGTATTCATTTTGATGTGGTTTTACATATTTGAGTGTTTTCTGCATATATATTAAAGTTATTGTGTGAGATGTAAATTCATTAGAATTGTGTGTTATGTAAATAGAGCTTTTTGGATGATTGGATTACGTTGGGTTGGTGTATGCTAGTTGAATGAAATTTTGCTAACTACTGAATAATACTTGCGGAAAATAATACCTGGAGCATAAATAAATTTTTTTTTTTTGGGGATATTTACCTAGCTATCTCAGGATTATTCTTTAAAGTTTAGAGAATTTTACAAACCTAGCACATAGTTATGTGTTTATATTCATGACAGATGTAAATAGAGCTTTTTGGATGATTGGATTACGTTGGGTTGGTGTATGCTAGTTGAATGAAATTTTGTTAACTACTGAATAATACTTGCGGAAAAAATAATACCTAGAGCATAAAAAAAAAGTTTTGGGATATTTACCTAGCTATCTCAGGGTTATTCTTTAAAGTTCTATCTCAGGGTTATTCTTTAAAGTTCAGAGAATTTTACAAACCTAGCACACTTCTTATGTGTTTATATAAAAGTTATTCTCTACTATTATGTATGTGTTTATTAATTCTAAATTGGTTATCTTACAAACAATATTTGAGTAAGAATTGGTGTGGGGGTGGTGTGAGGGCACTAGTGATTGGTGTGGGGGCAGTGATGATTAAAATATTACAATTTTATTTTTGCTTGAGTTGTGCTAAATATTTCTTGTGTCAAATATTTATGTTGTTTAACTCTTCTATGCTAGTAACACAATGATTAAGATAAAAGAATTCAGTTCACCTGTTATGTGGGATAAGAAAGTCAAACTAATATTTTGCGATCTATGCTTTTAGTAGGTGGAACTTGAAAATAGGCCCACAACCTATTTTAACAAGAAGGGTAGACAAATTATTATGAAAACGTTTAAGGAAATTACGGGAAGGGAATACGAAACAATTGAAAAACAATTGGGATCAATTAGAAAAGACTGTAAAATTTGGAAGGAATTGAAATGAGGATTCGCAGGCTTGTTTTGGGATCCGATAAAGAGGACAATTGATATTTCAAAAGAATGATGAACTGAGAGATTGGAGTTGAAAATAGATCAAGCATATATATGTTTTTTTTCCTGAAATATATCAACATATCCATACCCTTTTATGTTGCTGGTAGTGCCAATTTAGTGGCATTGATCCTGAGCTGGAAGAGAAGTTGGACCGCTTGTTTGGTGGGGTTGTGGCAATGAGGAATAATGCATGGACCCCGAGTGAGCGAGGGTTTGCAGGCATAACTAAGAACTTGGATGACGAACAAACAATTGAATGCAGGTGCTAGCCCGAATCTTAATGAAGTAGAATCCACTAGTAGGACAAATCGTCCAAAGGTAGAGAAAAAGAAAAAAAAAAGGACTGCTTTCATTAGAAGCCAAATTTCACAATCGGTGACTTCATGCACTAATGACCCTGGGACATCATAAGCAACTTACATTCAACAAGTTATGCAAATTTTGGAGGCAACTCAAAAAATTTATGAGGACATGTTATATTTGTTCTCCATGAAGTTGCTGGAGGACCTGACCCGTAGAGAGTTCTATATGATGATGACCACTAACCGTGGTGTTAATTATTTACGTTATTTTTGCTACAACAGAGATATTTTAATATGTTTATTTGTTGTTGGACTATTTTTATTCGTTTTCCATTAGGTTAATTTGGCTTATACTTTGGATGTTTCTTCTTTTTCTTTGGACACTGTTAATGTTGCTTTGGATGTTTGTTTTGTCATCGTACACTTTGTTATTTTCTTTTCCAAGTTCTAATATAATAGTTGCTTGGTCATAGAATGTTGTCATACTACCTAATTTGGTGGTTCTTGTGTGTTACCTGAATAGAGCACTTGCCTAACATGGATTTACAAAGCGAGAGACCCAGAAGGAGAATTTTAGTAGCTGTATGTTTGATATATGAGTACTATAACTCATACGTAGATCAATCTCTTTGCATGACATCATCTTACATAGGTTACAAATGGCATGGGGAGTTTTTTGTTGGAAACCCAACAAAATTCAACATGTTTTATATGACAGCTCATATTTATCAATCTTCAAGATGAATTACACATGAATCATGGACTTCATAACTCCTTTAGGATGACTTACAGAGAGGTGTTAGCAATAACCTTCTACATTTTATCACATAATGAATTTATAAGAGGAGCGATGAAGTGATTTCAATACTCATCAGAGATAATCAACATATACTTTTTAGTTGGGTTGAATGCTCTTGTTAGTTTGTGATCCAAAATTTTCAAGCCAGATGACCCAGCAATTGAGAGGATTCTCATAGAGATTGCACATGACCCGCGGTATATGTCATATTTTAAGGCAATTTTTTTATTCATTATATTCAGAAGTCAAAATGAATACAGTAATTTACACAATATTTTTTAATTTTTTAGAATTGTATTGGAGCGATCAATGTAAGACACGTGGATGCATTTTCAAATAATTAATAGGTCGCATTCATTAGATGGTTTGAATCACGAACACAAAATGTAATGGTTGTATGTGATTTCAACACGTGTTTTATTTTTGTTATAGTTTGTTGGGAATGCAATGCACATTACAATCGTATATTCAAAATTGCCACAATAACTCGTAAGCACAACTTCCCTCACACACCACTAGGTTTGCACAATTATTAATCATATTTAGACATTTTTTCAGTGCATTGCTAATTATTATATTTGTGACAAGTAAATAATATTTGGTTAATGCTGGATATTCCTTACAAAGAGATATTTGAAGTCATTTCCGGATACCAAATATTACATTTCTAACTTTGAAAGTGTCAGTATTGTCGCTCGAGGCATGAAATAAATGTTTTGAAAAAGACATTCGACTGTGTGGTGTCATTAAAAGAACATTTGGAGCGTGGAAGAAAAAATTGGTCATATTGCGGGATATGCCAACATGTCTGTTTCCTAAGCAAGCGCAAATTGTGGTGGCTGCTCATAATGACTTTCTACAACTATATTCAGGGACATCACGCAGGAAAAATTTTTTTGTCCGAACTTCTGACGTAGCTCTACGTGCGGACTCCAATAATATGCTGCCACGTGTGCTACGTCGTGGAGTTTATTGAAGTGGAATCACGAAAATTATTTCGAGGTTATTTTGGGGTTATTTCATAGTTGTTAAAGATAAACCTATATATTCCACTTCAATAACCTAAAAATAACCCATAAATAACCAAGAAATAACTTCCACAGTTCCACTTCAATAACACTGAAATAACATCGTGGAGGTTATTTCGGGGTTATTTTATATTATTGAAGTGTAATATATGAGTTTCTTTTCAATAATCTTGAAATAACCCAGAAATAACCCCAAAATAACATCCACGGTGTTATTTCGGGGTTAATAAAGTGGAACCATAGAAGGTATTTTGGGGTTATTTCAGGGTTATTGTGGAGTTCGCGGTTCCACTTTAATCTTTTTAGGTGAGCCCGATATAACACACATGACAATATAATACTGAGAGTTCGCATATAGAGTTACGTCCGGAGTTCAGACAAAAAAAAATTCCTTCATGCAGTGACATTGACTTTAGCAGGGTCGATGAAGATCATTTACATGTCCCATCTGAAGCATTTGAATATCGCGTAGGATATTTTTCATCACAGGCAAAAGTTGAATTACCTGAGAGTTGCACCCAAGATGAGGAAGGTGTTGGAGAAATGATAGAGTTGAGAGAGCACATTACATGTCATCGTTGGTTGTTGAATGAATTGATTTTTTTTTGTGCTACTTTATTTGCAATGCTTGGTGAATACATCTATCATTTGTTGTATCGATGTTTTGTCTAATCATCTATATTTTGAATCTCAATTTTATTTATCGCTCTTTTGCATGTATTATCCCTCACTTGGATGGCCAGAGGGGCAACTGTGGATGAACTATGCTATATAGATATTTATTGTTTGTTTGTTTTTTTTTTTTTTTTGGAGGTCATTGATGTGACATTCGACTTTAAGGGTTCTTCATGACCAACATGTCGATATTGGTTCTTGTTACATGTGAAATCCCAATGAAAGCAACCAAATTCCTCTCTTATTTTCAGTGCTATGATTTTTTGAGGTTCTTCTAGAGGGTTTTTTTGTGATACGCATATTTGATACATTACGAGTAATTTTTTTTTAAAAGGTCTGTTGCCTTTTGTAGTAACAGATTCGTTGGTTCATGCTATGTTCTCTAAGAACTTAAAGTTTAATAAAACTTGCGTTGGTTATTTATAATATTTTTTTTGTTAATATTGTATCTAAAAATTTGTGTTTTATTATTTTAAACCTTCAGAAAAGATGAGCTCGAGGGCTTCTGGTACCTCTAGAACATTGTACTGCTATTGTGGGCTACCATTCTTCCTGCTTACTTCTTGACAACCACATAGCTACAAGAGATTGTTTGATAAGTGTTTGGGGAGAAGACAAGAAAGATGCGACTTCTTTAGATGGGCAGTTGTGCTGGAGGAATCAACAGCTGATAGTGATTGGACTTGGCGAGTTTCTCTGGATAACTTTTCTCGTGATATAAGCCAAGTGTATTTTAAAAATAATGTTGTGTTCAATTTAGAACGATATAGTTTCTTTTGTTTGTGTTAAATTTTACTTGTTATTTTTTTGTCAAACTACTATAAATAAAATTTTCATTTGCTCAGTAGTGTAATTATATGTATATTTTTTAATTTTCATTAAAGTTTGTGGATTACTATTTAAGATAATTTTGTGTCATCTAAACTATATATATATTTATTGCATTGATTACTTTATTTTATGTTGGATATTTTAAAATCTTAAACCTAATATATTTTATATTAACTACATAGGCTTTTTGATTTAGAATATTGTGGCTTAATTTTTTAATTAAATTGTAGTTGTTTCTTACAAGTATCTTATGTTTCATGCTTCAAATCCTTATTAATATATATTCTTATAGCAAATTAACATTCAAATTTTGTTCCTTCATATTTTATATAAAATTTTTTAGCACAAATCTTTAATTATTTTAAGGCTCATGCTGATTTAAGGAAATCTAACTTTCAAGCACAAGATGTACTTTTAAATATTCAAACTTTTCATGCCTCCATAATGTTTATATATATGGTTGATAAATTTTTTTATATATATTATTATTAAGTGAAATATATTTCAATGTATTCATGTTATTTATTTGTTATAATTTTTATATAAAATTTTTCTTATTGATATTTGGTAGCATAATAAAATAATCACACAGTAATTTTTGTTTTAACACATGTTGGCTAAGCTTGTTCAATTGAGAAAGTTTAAGTCTCCTATTTTAATTTTATAAGTTTTGCTTTGCAAATTAGATGTTATATTATGAAGAGAATTAACATGTATCCTCCTTTTGTAAATCAAAGTATCTACCTAATATGTTAATATTATTAGTGAAGTGGACACTTCAAATGTTAACTTATCAATTAAAAAGATGATAAAAAATACGATTAAGATTGAATGTTCAAGATTATTTTACGAAGTACGCCAATGATAATGATAAAAAAAAAAGAGTAAATGTAATAATCGAAAAAGACATTACAATTATTAAAAGGTCAATGATATGATAAATCTACGAACACATTTTCTTATGTCATAAGAATCTTTGTAACTTGTGATTGTTTTCAGTTCTACTTATATGAAGGCTTTGAAACGAACTTATACGAAAGCATATAAAAGAGTTTGTTTAAAAACTTATACATACACATCCGTCCATAGATTAAATTATATGTCTTGTTGTTCATTATATTGATGGAAATTAAAAATTAAAGATAAAATTATTTAGTTTTTGCTGATTTATAACTATAGAGGTAAACTTCTTTGAGAGGAATGAGAAATATTTAGTTGGGTAGGGTAGGGATACATTGTTTAAAGTCATAGTTGATGATGCAAGTTTTAATTTTAACATCATCAGTCATTTCCCCCCCCTCCCAAAAAAAAAAAATCTAAAAAGGATGGGAGGATTCTTGATAGTAAGTTTTTACATGTGAGATGCATAACTCATTATAAATTTAATGGTTCATGATAGTCTTAAGCAGATAGGTTATATTATGTTCTTTGTGTTAGGTCGGTTGTTTTAATATTGACCATCTTCAATCATTTGCCAATTATATATATATATATATCTCTAAAAAAGATGGGAGGACCCTTGACAATAAGTTTTTACATGTGAGATGCATATATCATTATAAATTTAATAGTTCATGATGAATTTAAGTCGTTAGGTTATATTATGTTCTCTGTGTTAGGCCAGTTGTAACACCTGTAGGATTTCAACAGTTTAAAGAATACATTGATATAAAAAAAATTAGAGAGCTTGTTGTGTTTAGATGTACCAACAATATGAAATTCTACATATTTAATGTTGAATTTAGCATTGAAATTTGAGAGAGTCTTCATGAGATATAAAATGATTCACTTATATATATCTTATGGGCCTTAAGTTTGTTCATAAGCAAATAAATTTCATCATGCCCTTAATGAAAATAATACGTCAAGCGCGTTCATTGAAATCATGCCTTGATTGTTTCTCTTCTCCATCGAGTTCAACTTTGAAATGGGGGTCAATCATTTCATATCGCTCGAAGGTTCTGTCAAACTTCAATTCAACACTAAATATGTAAAATTTCATCTTGTAGGTACTACATCTAAATATAATAAGTTCTTACTTTAACTTTTTTAAATATCAATATATTTTTCAAACTTATAAAGCCTTGATGGTGATTGCTTATATATTTAACAATAACTCACATTCTTATTTTCATTTTTACTATTAAATTTGTAATATGAGCTATGCAACTCGTATGAAAGAACTTACTATCTAGAATATTCCCATCTCTATTAATTTTTTTTTTTTTTGCATATGGTTGATGCTGTCATTATTAGAATTTGCATTGTCATGTATAATTTTGCAGACTGCATCAATATACCACATAATTAAGCATTTATCTACTTATTGTTCAAGAAGTTCATCTCTATGATTATTAAGTGGGTAAAAAATTAATTACTCTTTTATTTAATTGTTAATTTCATGAATATAATTAGCTATAAGAAATATATAATTAATTTCATAGATGAATGTTCATGTATAAACCACCAAACAAACTATTTTATAAGATCACATGAAAGTTTATTTTAAAGGAGGCCTCTATATACTTGAAAATAATCACGAGTGCCCATCAAGAAGGAATTGATACATTGGACAAGTATTGTGTCATAAAAAATCTAAAACTCATCCCTTAAAATATTTAAAAGGCAATTCATTGATACTTAGCATAATTGTCAAAACTTTTTTAATATTATCTTAGTCAAATCCTCAAGTCATAAGAATCTCTTCTTCCTCATTTCTTTTATCATCTTTTTGTAATGCCAGTTGGGTTTGAGTTGATTTAATGCTATGAGAATTCTTTCTATAAATACAAAAGACTTGTTAGCAAATTTGTTGTACCAATGCCCGTTGGATCAATGTGCTATGTCTCTCCACAATAATTCAATTTGCTCCTTTTTCCCTATTATTATTGGTGCGCTTGGTAAAGTGATCTCAAACATCTAATATTGCTTGTACCATCTCTCTGTACTTTTTTTAGTTTGTATATATATTAACATTTGAAGTGCCCACTCACCAATAATAATATCAAGTTATCGGGCATGTACTTACTTTTGAGGAGTCCACAATGTGTTTGGTTATAAAATTTAGAAGAAAAGACTTTAAACATTTTCATTGAAGTAAGGTTAGCCAACATATGCAAATATTAAAACAAAAAAAAAAAAAAAACTAATCTATCTATTTTTTATCATACTCTTTAATATCAATAAGATAAAATTTAGTTTATGTGAACTATTAACAATAGAGATAACATGTTGTGCATTAGAATAGTTTTTTTACCTAATAATAATATGTAAAGTCTTACCCCAAACATGTATGGAAATATTATGAAAGCATGAAAATTTTGAATATTTAAATTGTCAATTTATGCTTGAATGTTTGCTTTCCTCTTATCTAGATGACCTTGAAATAATTAGAGAATGGGACAAAAAATTTTGTATATAAAATTAGAAGGAACAATGTTTTTATGTTAATTTCTTATAAGAATATATATTAATAAGCATTTGAAACATATAGCATAAGACATTTGTAAGAGCTTTTTACAATTTAATTAAAAATTATGGCCATAATATTCTAACTATTTCAAAAGGTCTACTAGTTGGTTCAAGATATATTAGGTCTTAAGATTTCAAAAGAAAATCTTATATAGAATTAAAAAATCAATGCAATAAACATGTGAATTTTACATAATACAAAAAAATAATCTTAAACAATAATTCAAAAATTTTAATGAAAATTTAGAGAATAAAATAAAAACAAATTATGATCTTATATTTATAAAATTCCACTAAAAATTAATGACAAAAATTAAGAATCATAAAAACAATATGAACGAAATTTCACGTAGCCAAACGAACATATATTGAAATAGAACTGATTAAACTCAATTTCACTCAAATACAATAATAAAATATATAAGAAATGAGGAAAAAACCAAAATAAGTTACTAAACAAGAAATTATTTTATGAAATCTACAAACATAAAAAATCATGTAAAATTTTACATATCTAAAATTGTACGAAGTGACCATAATAGTTAAATAAACCTTAGTGTCGAATCCAAAATGGATCGAGAGACATGCCTAAGGGATATAGCTCTAAGGGGAGAGAGAGAGCAAGGAGAGCAAAAACATAATATAGAACAAAAAGTTGGCGTAAACTTTATTCATGAAATGAACCCCTACTTATAGGGGTAGGGGTTCAAACAGAGCCAACTGACTATTTTGTTGAGAGTTTATCCTTGTACAAGTATAATGACAAATGTCTTGATCGATCCGTTAAAGCTCTAGCCAATTGTTTTGGGACCGGACAATTCGCTTCACTGATCCGAACATACTAAAATAATTTCTAGAAGAACGATCGTATTCCATCTGTCTGGGAAATAATTTTCTCGTGCTCTATTGGAGCCGACTGGTTAGGCATGGGGCTTCAGATCAACTTGAAATACTTAAAATTATTTTTGAGGTATTTTTATTTCTTTTCTTAGCTAATGCAAAATAAATAATAAAATTTAAAAAAAATAAATTTTTAACTTTGATATTTATTTTGTATCACCTAACAAAAGAAAAAAAATTACCTCAATATATTGTGAATCAAATTTCATGGGTGGGTGACTTTTATTTAAAAAAAATCATTTAATTAATAAAATTTATAATAGTGTTTGATATGTGTCGGAAGTTTTGCAATAGTAGAGTAATAATGTATCTTCTTTGCGTTGCACAAAAACCCGGCACACACTCAAATAATTAAAGAGAAGTAAGCAAGAGAAGATACCTCAATTTTTACGTGAAAAATCTTAGAAAGGTGAAAAAACCACGGGAGTTGCACGAGTTGTGAGTCACGTAGTCGTTGTTGGCTACATAAGTCATAGTGGTGAGATGTGTTGACATTTGTAGGCTGTAAGGGCTAAAGTCGGGATTCAG